TTAGTTCCTCTTCACTTCCTGCAATAAGGCTGGTGTCATCTGCATATCTGAGGTTATTGATATTTCTCCTGGCAATCTTGATTCCAGCTTGTGCTTCCTCCAGCCCAGCGTTTCTCATGATGTACTCTGCATATAAGTTTAATAAGCAGGGCGACAATATACAGACTTGATGTACTCCTTTTCCTATTTGGAACCAGTCTGCTGTTCCATGTCCAGATCTAACTGTTGCTTCCTGACCTGCATACAGGTTTCTCAAGAGGCAGGTCAGGTGGTCTGGTATTCCCATCTCTTTCAGAATTTTCCACAGTTTATTGTGATCCACACAGTCGAAGGCTTTGGCATAGTCAATAAAGCAGAAATAGATGTTTTTCTGGAACTCTCTTGCTTTTTCAATGATCCATCGGATGTTGGCAATTTGATCTCTGGTTCCTCTGACTTTTCTAAAACCAGATTGAACATCTGGAAGTTCACAATTCACGTAGTGATGAAACCTGGCTTGGAGAATTTTGAGCATTACTTTACTAGTGTGTGAGAAGAGTGCACTTGTACTATAGTTTGAGCATTCTTTAGGATTGCCTTTCTTAGGGATTGGAATGAAAACGGACCTTTTCCAGTCCTGTGGCCACTGCTGAGTTTTCCAAATTTGCTGGCATATTGAGTGCAGCACTTTCACAGCATCATCTTTCAAGATTTGAAATAGCTCAACTGGAATTCCATCACCTCCACTAGCTTTGTTCATAGTGATGCTTTCTAAGGCCCACTTGACTTCACATTCCAGGATGTCTGGCTCTAGGTGAGAGATCACACCATTGTGATTATCTGGATCGTGTCTTTTTTGTACAGTTCTTCTGTGTATTCTTGCCACCTCTTCTTAACATCTTCTGCTTCTGTTAGGACCATACCATTTCTGTCCTTTATCGAACCCATCATTGCATGAAATGTTCCCTTGGTATTTCTAATTTTCTTGAAGAGATCTCTAGTCTTACCCATTCTGTTGTTTTCCTCTATTTCCTCTATTTCTAAATCAGTGTGTAGGAGACTTTGAAAATGGCAGAGAAATAAAAGTAAATGCTAATGAATTTGATTTATTAATGCTGTAAACTTGTTCATGTAGTCAAAATAAAATGATAGAATATTGAACTAAATGTCTTTAAGTCCTAAAGCACTGTTAGAAACTCACCTTACAAAAGAACTGGTGTGTGCACGCTTATTCATGATCAACTGTTTGTGACCCAATGAACTGTAGCCTACCAGGCTCCTCTGTCCATGGAATTTTCTGGCAAAAATAATGGAGTGGGTTGCTATTTTCTACTCCAGGGGAATTTTCCCAAACCAGGAGTCAAATCTGTATCTCTTGTGTCTCTTGCAATGAGCTGACAGATTCTTTACCAAATGTGCCACCTGGGAAGGGGGGGGGGGGAGTCTAGAAATATCAGTTATGCATCGAGATCTTCAGAATTATCTACTTGGGGAAATTTCTATTGGTTGCTGGAACAAGGGAAGTCAGAGATCTGTATAGTAATGGAGATGAGGATCTGTGGCAGGTATCCATCTAAACATTAAATAGTACAAGGAGGGTGAATATTACAGGGAAGGGGAAATAGTATAGGGAAAGCACCAGAGGGGAGAGGGAAGCACAGAAAATAGAATCAGGTAGAAATATTTCTACCAAGTGCCCAGAAGTATGAGATTAATAGAGTCAGAGAAATGTGACTTCAATATGGAGATTTTGTAAACATATTGGAAGGAAAAGATGGGTACAAAAATTTATTCTTCCAAAAAAAATTAAGTAATTATTCTGTAACAATTCTCTTATGTGTGCAGGAATACATCAACTTGAGGAATTACAAAGACTTTAGGAATAAGGTCATTTACATGAGCAACAGGGGGGCTTCCATGAAACAAGTCTAGTCCAATGGACACTGGTTTGGGCCAACTGGATGGAGAGTTATATATGATCTGACTCTGTTGATTACAATGAGCTTTATCTCCCCAACCCCAAGAAACTTTAGTTTTCATCATTTTCACCTGTTCCCTTTAGATCTACTCTAGGTCAACAATGAAAAACCGAACCACATTTACTGAGTTTATTTTGTTGGGCCTCACAAATCAACCTGAGGTCCAGGCAGTGATATTTATCTTTCTGTTTCTCACCTACATGCTAAGTGTCCTAGGAAATCTGACTATCATCATTCTCACTCTAGTAGACTCTCACCTCCAGACCCCCATGTATTTCTTCCTCCGGAACTTCTCCTTCTTAGAAGTTTCCTTCACATCCATTTTTATTCCCAGATTTCTGACCAGCATGACAACAGGAAATAAAGCCATCAGCTTTGCTGGATGCTTAATTCAATACTTTTTTGCTATCTTTCTTGGGGCAACAGAGTTTTACCTCCTGGCTTCCATGTCCTATGACCGCTATGTGGCCATCTGCAAACCCCTGCACTACCTGACCGTCATGAACAGCAGAGTCTGCATACAACTTGTGTTCTGCTCCTGGCTAGGGGGATTCCTAGCTATCTTTCCCCCAATCATCTTGATGAGCCAGGTGGATTTCTGTGCCTCCAACATTCTGAATCACTATTACTGTGACTATGGGCCCCTCCTGGAGCTCGCATGCTCAGACACAAGCCTCTTAGAACTCATGGTCATCTCCTTGGCAGTTGTGACTCTGGTGGTTACTCTGGTGCTGGTGACACTCTCCTATACATATATTATCAGGACCATTCTCAGGATTCCTTCAGCCCAGCAGAGGACAAAGGCTTTTTCCACGTGTTCCTCCCACATGATTGTCATCTCACTCTCTTATGGCAGCTGCATGTTTATGTACATTAACCCTTCTGCAAAAGAAGAAGGTGCTTTCAACAAAGGAATAGCTGTGCTCATTACTTCAATTACTCCCTTGTTAAATCCCTTCATTTACACTCTAAGAAATCAGCAAGTGAAACAAGCCTTCAAGGACACCATCTCAAAGATTGTAAGGCTTTAACAAAACAAAATACACTTCAAGGAAAGATATACTTCATTTAGTAAAGATGTATTGAGTGTCTACTATAATTCAAGTGCTGACCTGGCACTTAAGGATAAAAATATGAAAGGCATATGTCCAAATTTCAGGGAATCTACAGTTTAATGTGATAGAAATGCATACAAACTGTAAATTGTCAAGTTTGCAGTTTACTTATAAGTCACAAGCTTGCGTGCGTGCGTGTGTGCTAAGTCACTTCAATCGCGTCTGATTCTTTGTGACACTATGGACTGTAGCCCGCCAGGCTCCTCTTTCTGTGGGATTCTCCAGGCAAGAACACTGGAGTGGGTTGCCATGCCCTCCTCCAGGGGGTCTTCCCCACTCAGGAATTGAACCAGCATCTCTTATGTTTCCTGCATTAGCATACGGGTTCCTTACCACTAGCGCTACCTGCGAAGCCCCAAGTCATAAGTTTACAAAAAATAAAAGAATATGATGTGTTAATAGAGAAGGATGAATGAGAATGTCTAAAAATAAAAACTGGAAAAAATTAGCTGTTTTCTGGAGTAAACTGGACATTTGGGAGTCAAGAGATGTTTTAAGAAAGGAAGTGATGCTATGAGCATTGTTTCTAAAGAAATCTAGCATTACTGTTCTTCATTATGGAGCTGTAAAGTCTTGCTTCTATTAAAGTGAAAATATTTTTTATTATCCTTCTCTTTTTCATTTATCTTACAACTGCAGCCATTGAAACTACCATCCTCCTGTAAATTAGGTCCACTTTTCTCGAAATGAGGCAAAAACTCTCAAGATTTTGTCAACTTACACACTCGTTTTCTAGAAGTTGTGGTTAGAGTTCTAGAGGCAAGGTTTACATCCTCTTACCTGTTGTTGCTTTTCATAGCTGACATCTTCCTAAGTTAATGGCTGAGTCACTCACTCTGTCTCTCTCTCTCTCTCTCTTTGGTAGTCTCTGAAAAATTTTTTTTCAATCACAATTTAAATTTTCATCTCTTTGTTTACTTTTGTTAGGTATTATAAAGGACAAATTTTGTGATATGGCTTCATTCTTTCAACTTTTCCCCAAATTTTTGCCTTTTTTATATAATCCATGGATACCTGTTTCATAAAGTGAAAAAAAAAACATAAAGTATCATACAGTTTTATATCTAGAATGTTCCAAATTATGAATCTTCACAACCAACTGGGAACAGACTACCCTACCAAGGATTCCACACGTGGATTTTAGGTAACAACAAACTGAATTTGAAGAGATGATGGTAGGGACTCAACGTCAATGGAACTTAGGACATTTTGTTGTTTTTTTTTTTTAAGTGCTTATAATTTTAATTAAAATTGTTTACAAATATAACAGAATGGCTACAAAGCGATTTTAACTTTAAAAGCAGCCAATACGTTTGGAAATGGTAACTACAGTGGTTATGAAGTAGGCAGTACTCTGAACATCAGTTCCTCTGTCAGCCCTTCTTTATTCTCAGATATTAGACACAGTCCTGAGCTGTAATCACTACAGAACAGCCTCTTCCACCCCAACTGAATGCTGGTGATACTTTAGCTAAATTCAGAGTATATCAAATTTCTAGCAGAAAATCAATTACGTATCAGTGTACTAGAGTCATTAAAAAAGAAAAACCAGAAAGCCATTTGGCAAGATCTATTCTGGACTGCTGGTATAATCCTGCAGGGAGAGTGCGGGTAGGAAGCAGTATGGTCTCCACGTCCTCCCCAGCAAGGAGTCTCTCGCTCTGCCCCAGGGGGGATCCCCTCGCTGCAAGGAGCCAGACATCCATGGGAAACTGATAAATGTTTCTCAGAATCAGCACTCACGCACTTGGCACTCCCCCCTCATGTCACTTGTTCTACTGCCCTAAATGGCTTTGTGCATCCCCACCCCCCCAGATTCTGAAAAAAGAATGATGAGAAATTGGCACTTAGAGGCACTGGGGTTCTACACTAACTCAACACAACTATGAGACAAGAAAGGGGACACAGAATGGGTGAGCAGACATCGTCACAAAGGTGGTGGGTGTTTTGAATACTGGATGGTGTCCAGGGCAGCCCCGATGTAATTCTTGGTCTGCAGAAGCCTGGTGAGCCAGCCGCCTTCATCAGAGAACCCCATGGATAGCATCTGGGAGAGGGACTCAATCAGCCAGGGGTCAGCTTCTGGTGGAAGATGTGGGTGCAATGCAGCTTCCTTCAGTCCTGTGGGTCCTTCCTGGGAAGGATCCAGAGAGCTTGGCCCTTCAGATTCAGGCATCTGTAAAGACTGGAGTTCACCTGTAGACGGGTCCACCTCTTTTGAAGACAGATGAGTCCAGTCATCATCTCCTCCTGAACAGTTATCAGACTCCATCTGTTCCTCAGGCTGACCCGCTGACTCCAGGGCGATCTTCTTCACTTGCTCCGTCAGAGACTGTGCTGTGCCTGCCACATCCCCGTCTGGCTTGCTGGGGTCAGAGCAGCAGCTGCTTGGCTGAGAGCTACACTTCTCCTCTGTGCTGGAACTGCCTGCAGAGGCGGGGGTCAGGCGGCTTCTCTTGCCTCCGTGTTCCACATCAATATCGACTTCAATGCCCAGCGGGCTGAGGGCAGCTGCTCCACTCTCCCCCACGTTCTTGAGGAAATTCACACTGGGATCTTCTGATGGACCAGAGGCTGATTCCGTGGCAGGACCAGGGTGGACGTCCCCTGCCTCAGGAGGACGTGGGCTCCAGTTCCCCGGTGGGCCCGTCTCCCAGCCACGCCACCCAGAGTGCCCATGTTTCAGCCCCCGGAGCCAGCGGCTGTGAGAGAAGCCCTCAGAGAAGTGCCCAGCGGGGCTGGGGAAGGCGAGCTTGCTGCGCCCCTGGTGCATGCCCTCCCCCTCGCAGACAGAGCACCGGTCGCAGTCAGGGCAGACGCTGCACTTGAAGCGGGTCCCCGCCACCCGCCCGTTAGCACCATCACCCATCACGCTGGGGTGCGCCATGCTTCGGGGCACCTCCTGAGCACAGCGGGGCGGTGATCCCTCCGGCACTCCTTCTTCTCTTCAGTGTAAATACGGAAGATGGCGTCCTTCACGTATGGCATCACCATCGTCAGCTCCTCGTCACTGGAAAAGGCAACCAAGTCTCCGTCCTCACCGCGGTAGTGCGCCTGAAAGCCGCCGGGCCGGAGCACAGGAAACCGCGCGGCCACCCGGCTCAGCAGCCGCTCACAGGGCCGGGGGCCAGGCGCGGCCTCGGCTTCGGCCTCGGGCTCCGGGCGGAAGCAGAAGCTGAAGCGGCGGGTCTCGCGGGCTGCGTCCTCCTTGCCCAGAAGGTAGGCCTTCACGGTGAGCGACGCCATCACCGTCACTCGAGGAGCTGAAGCACAGCTGGGCCGGAACTTAGGACATTTTGGAAAGCTGATTATTTATACACAGTTTAGTAACACCCTAATTCATTGCAAAATGCTGACTGAGATGCAAGTGGAGCATCATCTGATGTATTCACAGGTTTTATTTGTGGTAATAATATTCAGTGGAATGATGCTTCTTAGTCACTTAAGGAAAAAGCTGTACCGGCCTGATCATGAGAGAAAATTTCTAAAACCACAGAAGATAGTGAAGAGTGCATAATATTTTTAATAAATGACCTTTTTTGTAAGCCATGGCCATTTTGAATATCTGAGTTTCCTTGATGGCTAAGCTAGGGATTGTGTTAGTTGCTCAGTCGTATCCGACTCTTGCGACCCCAATGACTGTAGCCCACCAGGCTTCTCTGTCCTTGAAGTTCTCCAGGCAAGAATACTGGAGTGGATTGCCATTCCCTTCTCTAAAAGGACTTCCCAACCCAGGGATCGAACCCTGGTCTCCTGCATCACAGGCAGATTCTTTGCTATTTGAGCTACAGGGGAGTCCAAGCTAGGGATTTGTGATGCCTTTTAATTTATTCCAAATTCACTGAATTATTATTAATTAATAGAGAAGTGTTCTCAAATGGTCACACCTGAATCATTAACTTCTCCCACATCCACATTTCTACCAAAGCCCATGGTGAAATGGAAGACAATGCCATATAGTGGTTGAAAATACAGGCTTTAAAAACAGAAAAAGAGACACAGAGGTACAGAACAGACTTTGGGACTCTGTAGGAGAAGGCGAGGGTGGGATGTTCTGAGAGAACAACATTGAAACAAGTATACTATCAAGGGTGAAACAGATCACCAGCCCAGGTTGGATGCATGAGACAAATGCTCAGGGCAGGTGCACTGGGAAGACCCAGAGGGATCAGATGGGGAGGGAGGCAGGAGGGGGGATCGGGATGGGGAACACATGTAAATCCATGGCTGATTCATGTCGGTGTATGGCAAAAACCACTGCAGTACTGTAAAGTAGTTAGCCTCCAACTAATGAAAATAAATGAAAAAGAAAGAAAATACAAGCTTTAGTTCAAATCCCAGATTTTCAACCTTCTACCCAAGTCTCCTTGGAACAGTTTTTGTTCCTGCCTAAAGCTTATTTTTCTCAACTCTAAAATGTGGATAATGAAGTGTCTATCTTATAGGGTAGTTTTGAGGATTAAATAAAACAATAGGTGCTGGGAGCCGGCACACGAGATCCCACCCATGACAAGGTCATGAGGGAGAAAACCTGACAGGCAATGTGGATCAGGTTTTCAGGGATTCCGAAAAGCTGCCCCCAGCGCTCACCTTAAAGATGATATCTGTCTTTCTGATGCTTGCTTCAATAGACTACTCCCTAACTTCTGTGACACAGGCAGAAGGCCTTCCCTGATCTCTTCCAAAATAAGAATCAATTTAGAACTTCAATAAGTTTCCCAGGTGGTGTTATTTTATGAGGTTATCCAAGGTGAAAGGAGTGTTTCAATTTAAACTCCTTTGCTGGTATTTTAGTTTGTTTGGCAAATGCATTTATGCCCTTGGTACTAATATGCATGACTGCTCATAATACCCTATTCATAAAACAGCATAAGAACCTGATCACATAAAGCCCCTAGTAGGCATAGAGCCCTTCGGGGAGTGAGGAAGCCCTATTAGAAAACACAAGAAAAATTATTCTAAAAGTGGTTATTGGGTTAACATTTGCTTGCTGTGTTTTTGCTCTTAATGTGCTAAGGCTGTCTTATGGAAACCATTGTTAATATAGTTATAGATCTAGAAAAATAAGAGCTTAGCCCTAGTGTGGTACCAATGAGATGGTTGTTAATTGTCAGCCAGGAGTGCTAGGCAGAGGCTGCCTCACCAAAGTCGCAGAGTCAGTGTGAGGTAAACTTCTTAGATAAACACAACTGACAACTTCAGCAGAAGGATTAATTTTCGTGTTAACAAGGTTATACGTCTACTCTGTACTGTTGCCCTATGAGACTGCTACCTTTCAGTTAAGGTCACCATAGAAACAGAAAATAGGTTTACATTCACCTGCCCTGCATAAAATGTTAATGGGCCCCAAGGCCAGAAGATAATGCACAAGACCCTCATAAACAAAGAAGTATGCAGAAAACACCCTGGTTTCGTGAAGGACAAGCTGATGTAATGTTAAACTATCCTCCCCTCAGAAATGTACTAACTTAGGGTAAAAAATAAAGCATTGCCAGTCCCTGCCAGACCCTGCTGCACCCCTGTCTGGTCACTCTCTCTCTTCCTCTCTTTCTCTCTCTCTCTCTCTCTCTCTCTTTCTCTCTCTCTCCCTCGCAGACTTGGCCCTATCAAGGCTGGTCTCACATTGTCTTCTCTCGCTGACGCCTTCATCCCGAGGGTACCCCCTGGATCCTGCCAAGGCTGGACCCCGGCAAATAGGCATAAAATTTTTGAGTCATTATTTATTATGTTTAAGAAATGACATACATTATAACAGTATGGTAATGATAATCAATGTCCTTTTCAAGAAACTCAGGCTTAACTAGTAAGAATAAGCATTAAATTGATTGGTTTAACATAAGCAGGACTGTAAAAATGCTGGTCATTCTATTTGAAATCCCTATGCAACAAGACCCATTTATTTCCATTCCTTTATGTCCACTTGCATCCTTGGATAACTAGACTATTCACACATTTGATAAAGCAAAGTAGAGCATTTGGTAGCAGATTGTTAGGACTAGGCTACCATCAACCCCATGTGACCTGGGTATCTCTGAGTATAAATGAGATGAAGAAGAAGAGGACTTGGTGTAAATCACAGTACAGTGACACTAGCCAAGGCTTCACCCAGCCTTCATAACATAAACATCTAGAAATTAGTTGGGGAAGGAATTTATCACCTTTTAAATGTACTTGTTCAAAAAAGAGAGAGAGAGAAATAAAAAGACAAGTCATGCTCTTCTGAAACTGTTCATCTTGCTAGCTTTATGTCAGTACTTACGGGGTAAGTAACTCAAGTCACAAAGCAAAGGAATGAATTTCCTGACTCTGCAGCTGAACTTTTGGAATGTTCAATGTCTACATTGAAGGTTGTAGGTTGGTAGGTTTTACCTCTCCTGTCACCACTGTAGACAAGAGTCAAAAGAAACAGCTTTACCTACCTAGTATTCTCAAGATAATATCAGAGCAGTGCCAGGGTGAGGAGAAAATCAAAACACCGGGCATTCATTCTTCTATCCTCTCCCCAAAATCCCCAAGGTTGTGGACTTATGAATTACAAATCTAAACAAATGGTCTTTTCTGAATGCTGCTTCTTGCAAAGAGTTTAAAATGAAATTTTAAAAATTTTAAAAGAACTTTTTAAGAAGCCAAGTAAGGTAAGAACTGTTCTATAATGACTTGGACATTCTGACCTGAGGATCAGCTTTGTCATTTCTTTAAATTCATCCAGAAGATCACAGACAAGGGCTTAAGCTTCAGCCCACACACATCACTGGACGGGATAGCTGAAGCTATGCAGAGGTCATGAGTTTAGAAGCCAAAAGAACTACCTATCTGAGGAGTGCATCCACTGCGGGTTACGGTAAGGGCTGGGGGCAAGATTACACAAAAGACAATGTATGATCCAAAGAACAGAAGCATCAAGAGCTTAAAATAAGTATAAGTTCCTCAAAAAGACAGGAATCATACTGATAAAATGAAGGATAAAACATTATAAAAATAACTAGGTAAAAAATACTGCTGAAAACCATAAATGAAATAAAGAGGAGACTAATACAGGAAAGAAAGATCTAAAACAAAAATAATGAGCTAGAAGATCAGATCTGATAAACCCTCCCATAAAGCAGTAGATAAACAACAGACTGGTTCCAAATCAGGAAAGGAGTACACCAAGGCTGTATATTGGCACCCTGCTTATTTAACTTATATGCAGAGTACATCATGTGAAATGCCAGGCTGGATGAAGCGCAAGCTGGAATCAAGATTGCTGGGGGAAATATCAATAACCTCAGATATGCAGATGACACCACCCTTATGACAGAAAGTAAAGAAGAACTAAAGAGACTCTTGATGAAAGTGAAAGAGGAGAGTGAAAAAGTTGGCTTAAAACTCAACATTCAGGAAACTAAGATCATGGCATCCAGTCCTATCACTTCAGGGCAAGTAGATGGGGAAATAATGGAAACAGTGAGAGACTTTATTTTGGGGAGCTCCAAAATCACTGCAGATTGGTGACTGCAGCCATGAAATTAAAAGATTTTTGCTCCTTGGAAGAAAAGCTATGATCAACTTAAACATATTAAAAAGTTGTTTTTTAATAAGTAATGTCTCTGATACAGAAAAGTAAACAAATATACTTTGCCAACAAAGTCCCATATAATCAGAGCTATGGTTTTTCCAGTGGTCATGTATAGATGTGAGAGGTGGACCATAAAGAAAGCTGAGCACCAAAGAATTGATGCTTTTGAACTGTGATGTTGGAGAAGACTCGAGAGTCCCTTGGATTGCAAGGAGATCCAACTAGTCAATCCTAAAGGAAATCAGTCCTGAATATTCATTAGAAGATGCCAAAATCTAGATAATAAGTGTTACAGGTGGAGAGAAGATTAGCAAAAGGAAATAATAGTG